CATAGAAGTAAAGATTTGTACCAATAAACAACCAACAACATAACAACTAGATGAGAATGAACTACGATGTAGCTTGAATATCTATGCTTCCAAGAGATATGTAACTTGAAGAACACGAAAAGTAGACATGCAATGCAATTCTCAATGGACAAATCTTCAAAGGCATACAAAAACATTAATAATGAGATTAACACAAGCTCATAATCCTGCAGTAATGTGTCAAGGTAAGAGTGAGGATTTTGGATAGTCATCTTAAAATCATTAGCCATCTTGGTCGTAATAACAACTTTCATGAAGAGACAGTTTGGATTCGAGCCACGAAAAGTGGGGTTTTGGCACCCTTAACATGGTTGTCTATATTTTTGCAGAAACTGCACACTGAGTCTGAATTTCAAACATCTGGAATGATTGCACTATTCTATCTTCCTGGAATTTAGATATGTTATAGATGTTAGGCAGACAAACAACTTTCATGAAGGAAGTGTTTTGATTTGAAACACAGAAGAGGGAGATCTAGTGAGTTGACCAAGTATTCTCTATGTTCCGTCACGAGTAATCGTATGACTTTCGTCAATGGGTGAAAACTCAGGCACGTAGGGAGTGCCATTCATCTTGGGTTTAGAATTTCCAACCATTTTTTCCTTTCTCTAGGGCATGCAAATTAAGGAATTAAAAATTCAGAGAGTGAAAACGCTAGAAAATTCGAAGAGAGGGAAATTCCAACAGGAATTGTGAGAGTTTGTTGATGAATGCACCAATTTTTGGTAGCAAAAATCTACCGTACCTAGCCTTGACAAAATTGTAGCACCAAAATAATTAAACACCTTTGATCAAGGACCAAACCCATGCATCCAAGGAGTGGAGGGATGGATGGTTTGACCAGTAGATCTCTAATGCCTTAGTCAGTTCTCTGAAAAGAGAAAGTTTAGGGCTTAATTGCATAGCAAAAACTTACCGAAATTTGATGCAAAATGGGGTATTATAGGGAGATGTGGCGGCTATGTGTCGGCGTCTTGTTGGTCAAGGTATGTCATTCGTTGGGAGAGAATTATCCCAAATATGTTATTAATTAAATAATATCTTTGGATTATCTTGTGGTATTCTTGATTGAATTTGATTGTGATTCCTTATTTGATTGAATTCGTCTTCAATAAAGAAGGCTTTAAATATAGGATTTGGTTTTTAAATATATCTTTAATACATTTGACTTTTATCCTTGCCATGAGCAGAAGAGTTGGAGAGATTGTAGTTAGTAGCTTACGTTTTTTTGGTGATTCTACTGTGCGTGGAATAGATGTAAGCCTCACCAATTTAATAAGGGTATTCTTGTCTCTTGTAGGTAAAAGTCCACGCGTCAACTCCATAATATACAAATTATTTTTTGCTTGACATATACTATGAGATATGAGATCAGAATTGGGAGACATTTTTGACATAAATTGTGACACCCATTTTTAATCCGTTAGATTAAAAACATTATCAACGGTTGAGATTGAATCTGATACTAATTATTGCAAGGTAAAAAAAAATATTTCATTCCGTTATTGATAACCAAGGTTCTAAAAAGCGTTCTAAAAAAATATTTCATCTCAGCGCCGCGATTAACCCGAAATCATTTAATAAATCGGCAAATCTATTAGGCGGCGTAAAGCGGCCGCTTGGGTGGACTAGATGGAGGCTGGGCGATCTAAGCGGTTTGGGCGATCTGGGCGGTCTGGAAAAAAAACAAATGCCTACCCAGAAGAAGGTGGACGCTGGACACTTTGGGTGCTTTGCTTCTCGTGTCTTGTCTCTGTGAGTCTCGTCGTATCCCTCTTAGTGTGCTAGAAGACGAGTCAACGACAGTCTATGAGACGAGAGAGAGAATTAGAGGGAGAGGGTATGGATCTGCAATTGCAGATATGGGTGACGGCGTAAATGGCTTGGCAGTAGCAGCTTTTGTTAGGTTTTCTTTAAAGAGGTGAGTTAGTGATTGGATGGCCACTTGACCCATGAATACAAGTATCCATTATATTTTTATTCAAATAGGATAACAAATGGATTAGATGGGTTTGGGGATTTTTTTTTTTTTTTTTTTTTTTCTGTTAGGGTCCATTACACCCATTTATAAATGAATTGGATTGTCCTAGGATACTCGGTGACAATTTTGTTAATTAAAACGAGGAATACAAGTCCAACCTTGCATTATATATATATTAATAAGAATAAAATGCCCAACAAAACTTGTGGACTTAGAAAATGATACAAAACTAACAATTATTTAATGTTTATTTATGTACTATATAGTAAATTTAATTAATATATATGATATATAATAAAATATATCTCAACCTACCGTCAAACTAGCACCTAGCGTATTTTAAAATCTTGTTGATAATATGAACGCACAACTAACAAAACATTATAAAACGCACCCTCCACTCTTTTTAATTGTACGTTCTTAGCACTCTATTCAATTTTCTAGTTCCAGGCTTACATCACCTAAAATTCTGCTTTGCTATTTTTCTATGCAACTCCCTTACTTAATACTCCTCATGGCAACAATAATAACTGAGTCATGCATGTGCGATAACAAAAATTTGATTTAGATTTTGAGTTCACTTGTTAGTTTCTATCAAAATTGCAGAGGCTGCGGTCGATGGAGTACTACTAGAAAATATTATTTTGCCGACAAATTCTAAGCCGATAAAGTAAAATTTTGCCGCCACAAGACTCATTTGCCGACGAAAATTTTAATTTGTAGGCTCATAATTGTTGAACTTGTGCCGACAATATTTTTGTCGGCGAAAAATATTTATGCCGACAAATAAAATAACACTCGGGAAAGCATGCAGGTTTGTCGACAATCAGAAGATGGGAACGGACTAATTTATTCTCGCGCCTTTTGTTTTTTGGTCTTTTTGATTCACCCGCTTCTTCTTTTTATCGAAAAATTCCCCCTATAAAAATCATTGTATTTTCATTGAACCCTAATCTTAATTGTCGATAGCCCACCCCTGCCCTTCTCTTTGAAATCGTAACTTTCTGTCTTCCAATCGAGCTCCATCGACATCGCCGTCGCTCCGTATGCCCGATATCGCCGTCGCTTCGTGTGCTCGACATCGCTGTCGATTCGTCTGCTCGCGTCACCGTCGAAGTGCCCGACCATTCTAGCTTTGAAATTTCTAATGCCGGGTGCTTCTCTGCATTTCGTTCTCTAAAACTTTGGGTAAGTTCTCAATCTCTATCTACCCTATTCTTTCCCCGTAGCTTTTTGGTTAGTTTCAATTTTATGGTGCTTTTCTTAGATTTGTTCTACCACTGTAATTTTGAGGGATTTTAGGTAATGAATTTGGTTGAGAATCTAAGTTAGGTTTGTAATTTCTTTCTGGGCTGCCTGGGTATGAGGATGATTAGTCTACTTTTTGAATTTTAATTACTTTTAACTTTTATTTCTGAGAAACTGCAATCAAAATGCAGTTATGGTTTTATAGTCATAATCAATTGTGAGTCTTTGCACCACATCAATCAATTCCTATGTTTTAATCAATTGAAATTAGGGTCATGTTACTAATGAAGTTGTCGGGTTAAGGTTATATGATATTTTTGCTTCTAGGATTTGTGTTTTTGTTTTTTAATCTTTTTCATTTTCTGTCTATTATTAATTCCTAAACGAGAACATCAATTTGGGAATGCTTCTGTGGTATTAATTTATCTTCTATCTTCATTTTATATAATTTGCCTCTGATTTATGCGTGTTATTTAGATTATTGATCAAATCAACTGTGTTGGAGGCTAGGATCTCAAATAAGTGAGTAAAAAAAATCTGAATTGTCCCTTTATTGTGCAGAACACTATGAGCAATGAGCTTTCTGCAGGTAAGTTTGATTGTGATGACAATATATTTTTATATTTTGTTTTCCTCTGCTTTATGTTTATCCTAAATACATTGATGACATCCCTTGCATTTTCTTGCATGTCGGAGTAGTTTGATTATGTCTAATACTAGACATGAGCAAGAAGCATACTGGAACAATGAGCACAGATTGGCCTACACCTCTGAGATCTGCACCGCCTCTGAGGGTGACCGCTATGAGAAATCGGTCATTTTCCCATTACTCTCCCTGGTTTTTATTGCTTTTAAAGTTCCAATATTTAATCAAATTAATATTCTAGTAGTAGATATCTCTACAACTGGGCTGTATATTTCATGAAAAATTTGATATGTGGTCCAATTCTTCTGTTGCAATCCTTTATTGTTCTCGGGGTATATTTTTCTCATTGTTTTGACAACCACCAGTCATTTGGTACATGATTCATTTTCAAGTCAATAATGTTTAGTAACTATTTAACTTTCTTTCATCATTAACTGGTTAGATTTTAATCCCAGCCTGTGTAAAAATGTTTAGTAACGGCACACATTCAGTTTGGTGATTTGGATTCATTTTTCACTGGTGTTTCTTTGGCATTATTTAATCTTCCATAAAAATAGTACTTGTACAGAAAGAGCTTGGGAGGCAAACAATGCCTGCTCTATGCGAAGAAGCGCAAGATCAAAGAAGCTCTAGAAGGTTCGTTATCTCTCTAGTCTATAACGTATATATGATCAGTTATATATGAAAGTTACTTTTTTTCTTTTGTTTATAATGTATCACTGTCGTAAAGTCTTGTGTAATCTGGTGATAATTTGAACATGTAATTGTTTAGTTTTTCATTAAGTTATGTTGTTGATTCTTCATGGCTTTCATTTCTGAGTCTCAGTCCCAAGGTCACATTAACAATACGTATGCAAACGCATCTCAAAGAGACCCGAAAATTTTGATGACTACTACCTGGGACCCGAGTGCTCCACTAATACAATTTGCAAAGGTTGGCCTAGCCTTTTTCCTTACTTATCACATTATTCAAATCAGTTTTGCTGCACTCTTGTGTTCATTTTGGTGGTATCATGCTGTGTTGGTTATTGATTGTCGTTTTTGTTGCACGCGTGTCCATTTTGGTGATATTATACAAGGCGGGGGTTGATTATTGATTGTCGTTGAATCACACTGGCGCAAGAACTGAAACTCTTTTTTCCCATTGCGCTACAAATGAATCGTGGTGGCCAGGTTGGTGCACATTTTCAATGAGCCTTCTAACTATTTGGTTATTGTTTGTGTTTTGTAACATTTATTTTGCACCTATTTGGTTATGTTTGTGTTTTTGTAACATTTATTTTGCAGGTGCAGGATGTTTTGTGATGCTACATGGCAGCCAATTTTGAGGAATGACAGTAGGATAATATTATTGTGTAACATATGCTTTCGTATAAGCACTCTAGATGTACATTAAAAATTTATCAATCAATAAAGTATTATTTCTTAACAACTGTGTATTGTATTTTGATATGTTTATGTAGTTGTTGAGCATTAAAGTAATTATTAATTTTTTTTTTATAAATTAAATGTCCTTCCCGACGAAACCAGTTTTGTCAAGACAGAGAAGATTATGCCGACGAAATATCCATGGTGACAAACATATTTTGTTGGCTTAAAAGTACTATTGGTCGGCTAAAATGCCTTTTACCAACGAAAATATTTGTCGGGACACATGGAAATGCCGACAAAAAACTGTTTGTCGGTAAAATTTGAACCTTAGCCGACAAAATACCAAAATTTGTCGGGAAAACTCTTAGGCGACATGCTTTGCGAGACAAAATGACCGACAATTTTTTTCGTCGGAAAAGACTCTTTGCCGACAAATTTTGGCCTTTGCCGACAAAGTAGTTTTGTAGGTAAAGTCAAAATTTGTAGTAGTGGTAAGCTTTCAAATGCGTTAAGATAAGCTTATCATTTCATTCTCCTTTCCATCATGATTTCTTGATAAATTTTTCATTCAGAAGAAGGAAATCTAACCAAAGTAGGTGTAAAAATTGTGAGGTTACTGTGTGTTTTATGGATTGGACTCCATGTGAGCTAAACATCTGGAAACTATTTCTACTTCGGCTAATAGGGACCTTTTTTCTGTTCTTATTGGTTTAAGAAGTTTTCTTCTCGTACGACTCCGTAAAAATTCTAAATTATGTGGGAATTGAGTTGCTTTGTGTGTGCTTGATTTCGATAAAGGACGGAAATTATGGCAATTTGGAAGATGAGACTTCTCGGGATCCATGAGTTTGGTTCCGATTCATTAGAGGTGATGGTACAAAATGGGCTAGAGTTGTGTTTGTGGTGGTCTTTTTGGTTTTTTTCGGTGGCTGTTTTCTTCACCATATTTGTGGAAGTGACGGTGGATGGCTTTTCTAGTATTTCTCTTAGGTAGTTTGTAGACTTGTAGTGGCCACTTTTGGGGTTTTTTTGTGTGGTCATCTATATCACTTGGGTTGATGTCCACTTTATGTAGTGTATTGTTTTGGGTACGAACAAATCCTTTACTAGTGCATTGTAAACACATTGAGTTGTAACGTCTCATTTGTACTTTTCTCATTTTTGAGGTGCTTGTATGATGTATGATGTATCAAAATAATTTAAGACTTTTTTAGCATAGGTCAATAAATAATTTAACCCTTTCCGGTCCAAATTACATGGGATAACCCGCGTATGAAGCCCTACGTGTCCCTCTGTATGCCAATGGGAGAAGGATTCCGATCTTAATCAACATGATATCATCTCCATGCATGCTTATGTGTGTATATCCATCCGTATCAGTTTCCTTTTTAAGAAAGAAAGAAATCGTCAAAGTTTTGCATACGGTAAGTTGTTGCGCAATTGCTCTTATTTTTTGCAGAAACACAAAGAAGGGATTGATCGGTAGGTAAGGCCGATGGACCATTAACAAAATCAGAAATTAATACGTGTTCATGATCGGAAGGGAGTTTCCTGCCGAGTCAAGAAGAAGAAGAAATAAGAAATAAACTGAAGGATTTTTGACCCAATGCCATGCATGTTAATGGCACACGAAATCCAATGGTTTCCTGGATGCAACAGTGGGAAATGAAAACGTACGGCTAGTACAACCACATTTTTGTATATATATATATTTATATATATGGTCAACACGTTTTGACATTAAGACATTCAGCAATTACATTACTGCTTTCTAAACATTATTTTTATTTTATTTTTTATTTTTTAAATTTTGTAGAGACAAATTAAGCGAGATTAACTCTTCATCAACAGTCGTGTGTGAAGTACTAACCATTTCCCAAAAGAAAAAGGACCGTTGCACCCAGAAAACCCATGCACGTCCCCTCTCTACTAGATTTGCTTTCTAAACATTACACGAACTTCTTGCTTGCATGAAGCGAGTGAAAATGCAGGGCCTTATTCAAAATGAAAAAATGGAGTTTTAACAAAACATTCTTGATATTGTTCACTTTTTTACTAAAAATCACATTTTTACATTTTCCTGGTACTATTCTCTACACCTTTATTTGTCATTTTTCATTAAAACTAAAGTTTTTTTGTACTTTTAGTTGGTTTTCTTAATGAAAACGGGCCAAGGGTCAAGGATTCAAAGTAGCAGTTTTGGTTGGAGTGCTCATGTAGCACCTACACAAAAACAATTATCCAAAGTGATTGCTTAATTTTCAAGATAATATCAATTTACGGACATGACGGTATTCAAATTACATTAATCCAAAGTCAATGTTCCTAGAAAATACAAAGAAAGTGAGAATCATCAAGTTTTAGAATTTAAATTAAGCAACTACGTTGAGTTTTGAAATTACCATTTTAGTGGAATTCTTGTTGCTTGTAAGTAAGAGATCTTAGGTTTGAATCTCGAAAATAATGAGTTGGCAACCAATTTATTCTCCACTATGTTAGTATTTGATAAAAAAAATATTAATAGAAGAATAGAAAATACAAAGAAATTAAGAAAGTGAGAATGATCAAGTTTTGGAATTTAAATTAAATAGCTACTTTGAGTTTTGAAATTATGTAGTACTATAGTATAGTGGTATTCCTCTTTAATCGTAGGTGAGATGTTTTGGGTTTGAATCTCGGAAATAACGAGTTGACAACCAATATATTCTCTACCATGTTAGTGTTTTGTATATGAAATAAATTAAGTAAAAAGATTAGACCAATTAAACTAGTGTGTCACTTATGTGAGAAATAAAAATGAAAGCATCTTGAAATATCATAATTTTATAAAAATTAAACCAGTGTTTTATTTCTCTACCACAGTGGTGGAGAGAAGTGTTGTCTTTGCATCATGGCGTGCATTCGAACCATGTCGGCTCTCTAATCTAACATTTAATCTAACAAATCTATTTTTTGACAAAAAAAATAAAAACTAAAAAACTAATTTCCTTCAAACTTTTTTTAATAATATGAAAATTTGGAAGAAGTAGGGGGGTGTATAGAAGCAGGGTTCGTGAGGTGGGAGGAATGGGTGTGGATTTAAGAAGTAGGGGGGTGTATAGAAGAGGGAAGAGGGTGGGTGTGGAGGGAAGGATGTGGATTTATGGGTGAGGTGGGTCGCCGCGGGGGCGGGGGGTTTCAGGGTCCCCGGGGGGGTGTTCCTGGGTGAGGAGGGTCGCGTGGGGGGTTCTGGGTGAGGTGAGTCGCGGGGGAAAGTGGAAGCTGGAAAGGAAGCAGCAACAGGAGAGGAGAGGAGGGTGGAGGACTTTTGCCTTGCTTGCCGTAGACACTTAGACAGCAAGCATTTGATTAGTTAATACTTAATAGCTAGCTAGGATGAATGAAGAAAAAGATGGAATTGAAAAAAGTGTAAGTGTGTGTGTCTGAAGACTGAGAGAGAGAATAGGCATGTAATAATGTGGTTTGGAGGAGGATGAGGAGATGTGTCTGAAACTCTTTCTGGGTTAGGGGGTTCACGAGGGTTGGGGTTTTGTTCAGCTTTTGAATGTTTTTTTTATTTTTTATTTTTTTTATAGTTCAGAAGATTTTGGTTTAAAAAATTATTATTTTTGCCACCTGGTACAAATGTGGCAGCACGTCGCGCTTAACGGATTAATTGATGAAAAATGTAACGGAGGTATTATTTTGAAATAAAATAATACGTGAGGTATGAAAGTGAAATGTTTTAAAGATGTTGTATGAGGTTGTAATAGACCTTAAACCTGAGGGGCTACTATGTAATTTACCATTTTTTTAATGATTAATTCTTTTTGTACAATTTTTTTAAATTAGTACCTCACAATAGGTTAGCAATAATGTGATTCAATCAGTTGTTCATTAAATATTATTTTCTTTATTTTTAAACACATTCAAAACATCTTAAGATGCGTGTAATGCCGGTTATAAAAAAGATCTTTCACACGCGCATAATAATGTGATTAAATTAGTTGTTAAATAATTGTTTTTTTTGTTTTTTGAATCTACACTAAGGGCGACGAGGTGGGCTTAACCCCACAATGGTCTAGCAATAATGTGATTCAATCAGTTATTCATTAAATATTATTTTCTCTATTCTTAATGTAAATTCAATAGAATGTATAGATGAAAATTGAAAGACCGATTATATTATGTGAATGCAGCTGCTTTGATTGGTTTGTGAGAAGTTTTCTCTAGCATTATCTAAGATTATTCATTTACTTCAAATATTTGACTTTCTTTTGTCAATTCACGCATATAAATACATTTAAAATGCGTAAGTCACGCGTAGAACGCCGTGATTCAAAAAATGTTTTCTGCATGCGTGTGAACGCGTGCATGAAGGCTAATATTTGCAAACTTGATATGACACAATATTTATTTTCAAGATTAGAACATGTACATTATAATTTCTCAAGTTTAGTTAGCATTATTTTATTGTGAAAATGGGTGGCTGCTGCCAAGAACAAATGCCACTAGTATGTAACAAGAAAATTCTCCCCCTCTAGGTGAGAGTCCTTTCTTTCCTTCTCAGTGAAAGTCTTTCTCACTTTTCTGTGAGTGAAAACAGTTCCATCACTTTACTCTGCCGCTGGTCCTAGCTGTGGCTAGGGTTGGTGGCAGCCCGCTTTGCTTTTAGTTTTCCTCTTTCTCCCTCTCTATCAGTCTTCTTTTTCCACTGCTCTCCGGCCAGATTCTCCCAGTCCTCCACCCTCTTTTGCCTTCGATTTAACCGATCTTAACCCTCGAACGGAAAGCCCCAATTCTGAACTCCACCCTTTCTTTTACGCCCTGTTGTTTCTTCTACCTCCATGATTCTAATTCATCCATCTTATATCTATCCAAATTGGCTCAGTTTTCCCACAATCCCTCAACCTTTCCGTTCTCCATGCACTTCCATCAAACACGATTTGTCGCGGTTTTATCGGAAGGTGTGTAAAGCTCTAGCTTGGGTGTTTACAACACCTCGCTTTTGACTGTGTAATCGAGAAACTGACCATAATTGAGAAAGCCATATATTACACTTTCTCTTTATTTAAATTTTAA